TGCTCTGCGGCATATGGGATCTTCCCAGACCAGGCCTCGAACCCGTGTCCCCTGCATTGGCAGGTGGATTCTTAACCACTGACCCACCAGGGAAGCCAGGTCCACTAGGGAACTTATGTAATGAGGGGCCGTTTTAAGAATAAGAATACTAAATGATCATGGGACACAGTCCAAGGCCTTTCCCAGGCCCTTGCAAAGGGCTGGTGTAGTGGGGGGCCCACAGCCAAAGGTCCATAAGCTCCCATGGTCAGTCCCACTGGGCTCACTGGTAACCGAGCCAGGCCTTGACCCAGGCTCAGGACTTTCCACCTGCTCCCAGTTTCAGCAAGGCCCAGGCCAACTGAGCAGGCACCCATTGCCCCTCTCACTTGCCCCTTGCAGCTGCCCTGCCTCTCCAGCTACATCAGGTTCAGAGTCTTGGACTGGTGAGCAACTGGGTGGAGACTGGAAAACACGCCAGGGAGGAAGAAATCAGAGCTGGGCCAGGGGCTCAGCCTGCAGGGTGTGTTTCTCTCCAGCCCCGGGAACAAGTGCCATGATGAGATCGGGACAGTCAGCCTGTCCCTCAACCAGATCTCGTCCACTGGAGCAGAAATAGAAGGCAAGCAAGCCCCCGGCCCCGCCTCCTGCACCTCTCCCACCCGGACCTGGGGACCCTTCTCACCCTCTCCCCTTGCAGGCATGTACTCTGGCTTCCTCCCCTGCTTTGGCCCCAGCTTCCTGACTCTCCGTGGGGGTAAAAAGGCCCCTTTCAGGATCAAGGAGGAAGACGCTGTAAGCTTCTCATGTCAGCTCTAGGGAACAGAGGAGGTAAAACCAACCATGTGTAAGGCACCGGGGCCTGGGAACTGCCTGGGGAGGGCCAGGCCCTGGTTTCTGTCCACCACACTCCAGTAGAGGACTTGAAGGCTGTACATAAATGGCCATATAAATACGGGGCATGTGCTGTGGCACAAGAAAGGAACAGATGGGGTGCTCTGGGCAGTCACTGAGGAAGGGACATTGAGATGAGACCTCAGGTAAGAGTTTCGGCAGGTGGAGCGTCATAGGTAACAAAAGAAACAGCACAGGTAAATGTGGAGAAGCGCTGGGTTATTCAAGACTGGTGGTAAATGCCAGAAAGCCAAGTGGCAAAAGAAGGGAATGGGGCTGGGAAGGAATCTGAGTGAGGAAGAGCTGCAGAAACCAGGACCTCAATGCCATTAGGAGACTCTCCCATGCTCACTCCATCTCTCATCTCTCCTGCTCTTTCCTGGGCCTCATTCATTCCTACTGCAGTCTTGCCTCCCTGCTGGGAAGAGGACCATAGAAGCCTCTACTAGGGAAGGCCAGGGAAGCATTCTAATTGGCCTTCCTAGGTCATGTGTGCTCCCCTTTGACCAATCACTGTTGCTGAGGAGGCGGAGCCTGTCCTGATTGGCCAGGCTGGGATAATTCAATAGGTACCACCGTCCCCTCCAAGCATGAGGGGTTTACCAGGAACAGGGCCCTTCAGGTGGGCCAGCAGGTAGAACTGCATGAAGGGGAAGAGTGGACCTAAGGGTGTGGAAGATGGCTCAGGGCCCAGAGGTTTCCAGGCATGGCCGTGACTGGAGTTTCTGGAATTCTTCCCTGGGATGGTGGTCAGCCCTTGGTAGGAAGTTACGGGACAACCCTGTCCTTTCTACAGAGGTTTCAGGGGAGACTTTCCTGGCTTTTTTTTTTTTCTTCTCATCCCTTTTCTCGCCGTTTTCCTTCCTGTCACACTAGACTATCCCCAACATCGTTAAGGATGGTTTAGCTTATCGAGGCCGAGTCTTCCTAGAGTTAATCACCCACATCAAGTCCCATCAAGATGCTACGATGAAGGATCTCTCCCGAGATGTGATCAGCGTAGAGGTAACCACAGGAGCCAGGTAACCCAGGAAGGAGCTCCTCTGCCTGCCCCTGGTCTGCTGTGGGTCCCGTTTCTGACATTGCAAGAGGCCCTGGCCAGCAGCGGAATGAGCTTTTTGGATGTGTGAGGATGTTCGGTCGATCCACCGGAGTCTTTGCTAAGTCCCTATGGGGGCTTCCTGCCGTGCCAATCCCAGGAGGTTAGGGGACCCAGTAAAGACAAGGCTTAAGTTTAAGAGATGTGTAATCCAGTTAAGGAGAAATGATGTTCTAAGGAGCCTGGATTTCTTCCTGAAGGCCAAGGAGGGTCACTGAGGCAGGAAGGGGAAGGAGGAACAGAGTCAGGAATAGACTGGAAGCGAGTAAATTGGGCCACACCCACTCAGGAGAAACGGGGACACAGTTACGGGGGGGCGAGAACTGGAGAGGAGGGAGCAGGTGCCAGAGACCCCCTGGAAGCAACGATCAGAGATACTGACCGACAGGACGCTAAGAAGTGAGGCTGACTCCCATTTTCTGCCTCAGGTGGCGAGGTGGGAAGGTGGGGGGCGTACATCAACATGGGCTCCCCAAAGGAGGAACAGGTCTGGGGGAGATGATGAATCCCACCTTTGACGTGTGCTTGTGAGACACCCACGAAGACCAGTCCCCAAGGCTGCTAGACAGCCGGATGTGTCATCAACACACATCCAAGGATCTATCCAAGGTTCTGGAGGAATTGCCCTGGGGAGTAGGTGGAGTGAAAGGAGAAGGGGGCTGAGGCTGGAGCCCATCAGAAAGCACAGCCTATGAGACGGGAGGAGGAGGAGGGTGACTCTGCAGAGAGACGGAGGGGGAGTCTGCAAAGCGGAGAACTGAGGCAGCCTCCGGAGGGGAGAGTTGCAGAAAGGAGCGAGCAGCGATCTGAATGTGGTGGAGAGAAGGGCTGAGGACCCAAAAGTTTGTGCTGGTTATTAGGAAGACACCAGTAGCCTTGGGTCAGGAGAGAAGCCAGGCTGCCGTGAGCGGGAGGGAGAAGTTACAGATGGTGCATAGAGGCAAGTGCATAGAAACTTGGCTGCAAAGTTGAAGGAGATAAGACCAGGTTACAGCTAGATAGTGGCTCAGACGGGAGAAGGAGGGTTATTTTTTAAGAGAGGGAGACTTGAGCTAGTGAGCAGACTGGGACAATGCATAAGTAGGGCAGAGGTAGACAGTGGAAATGAGAGAGGGGCTCACATGATGGATAGATGACCCGAGCAGACGGACTCGCGGTGGGAGGACGGGGTTTGAGAAAAGCCAAGAGCAGATGTGTGTGTGTATGCATCCTCCACCACGCACCCCTGCCCACACTCGGTCTCATCCGATGGGGGGCATTTAGGCAAAACGGAAAGGGGTGGGGGTGGCCCAACTCAGAGTCTAGCCTGACCAGGGAGAAGACCCTCCTGCCTGATTTCAGGAAGAGAAGGAACCACTGCCGGTTGGGTGGAGGGGGCCAGGTGATGGAAGTCCTGGCAGGAACTTCCCTTGATCAGCCAGGTGAGCGGGAGTCAAGGCAGGATTTTGAGAGGGGGCAGGGGTTCAGTGATGGTCTAGGTCACCCTGAATAGAAGCAAAGGTAGCTTTTGAAAGAAACTGGGCACCTCATGCTTGCCTCCCTGCCTGTCTCGATAGCCTTGTTCATCCCTTGCCTTACGCACTGGGGATGTGGTGGGTTATTGTTTTAGAAGCACCAGAACCGCCAAAAGTATGGGCTGTGCGTCATCTTCCTTTCCTGTACCATGATGCCCAACTTTAAGGACCTGATCCAATTCGAGGTCAGCATTGGTCACTATGGAAACAAGATGGACCTGAGTTACAAGCCTCTCGTCTCCACCACACAGTACAGCCAAGTGATATATGATGGTAAGAGTCAGATCCAACAAAAGAGTAGAGAGCAGTCAGTGCATGCCGGGCTCTGTGTTGGTCCTTTTAATGGTGTTAGCTCACGGTACATTCATAGGCATTGTTAACCCACATTTAGACGTGAGGAAAGTGAGCTTCAGGGAGGTGAAGTTACCTGCCAAACATTGCACAGCTAGCTAGTAGGTGGTGAACCCACGACAAGAACTGAAACTAGGTTTTGACTTCAAGTCCTTCTCTACACTACATTCCATACCACAGCTTCCCAACCTTATCTTCTTTCCTACTACTCTGAACCACCCCCATCCAGCCATGTGGCTACCATCCACTACTCACCTGCCCACCTTCCATCCATCCTTGAATCCACTTATCCACACATTCATCCATTCAACTACCACCCATCCACTAACCCAATCATCCAACCAACCACCCATCCACCCATCCATCCTTTCATCCAATGTATACTCATTGGACACTTCTACGGGGCACTATAAGTTTCTCGAAGTGCAGTCCCTAGGCCAGCCCCATCAGCATCACCTGGGAACTGATAGAAATGCATATTCTTGGCTTCACCCCACACCTACAGAAGCAGAAAACAGAACAGCAATCTGCGTTTCAACAAGCCCTCCAGGTGACTGGGATGCATGCTAAAGTTTGAGAACCACTGCTCTAGAGGAACACTATCTCACTTTCATCTTCGTCAGCTTCACCCTCTCATCACCCATGGAGGGCTTTCCATGCATCCCCCTTGTCTGCCTGTTTTTTTTTTTGTTTTTTTTTTTTTTTTTTGGCGGTCCGCGGGCCTCTCACTGTTGTGGCCTCTCCCATTGCGGAGCACAGGCTCCGGACGCGCAGGCCCAGCGGCCATGACTCATGGGCCTAGCCGCTCCGCGGCACGTGGGATCTTCCCGGACCGGGGCACGAACCCGTGTCCCCTGCATCGGCAGGCGGACTCTCAACCACTGCGCCACCAGGGAAGCCCTAGCCATTCTCTTATTGATTTCTAGTATCCCTTCAAATATTAGGGAAATTAGGCCTTTGTGATATGAGCTCTAAATATATATCTTCTATTTGTCTCATAGCTTGGCTTATGGTGTTCTGGGTTTTTTTTTCCCCCCATGAAAACTTTTTTTTTTAATGTATGCAAACTATTTGTTTTATGGCTTCTGGCTTCTGAGTCATAATTAGATCTTTTCCACTCCAAATTTATTAAGGAATTCTCTCATGTTTCTTTCTAGAAGTTTGTGGTTTCTTAAAGTTTCATAATTAATAACTTTTCTCTTTCTGATTTTTTTTTCCCTATAAATTTCTTCATTTTTTTTGTCCAGCTGCCCAAAGGTTCTTTCTTCGTCTTGAAAGTCCAATAACTTCAGTAGGTTGTGGCCACATGTTCATCCTCTGGGGTCAGTATTCCCAGGCATATGGTATATCTTTCAATATATAGATTCAAGTCTTCTTTTCTTTTGTTAGTAATTTATTTAGTGGTGTAATTTACATACCATAAAATCCACTTGTTTTGTACCATTCAGTAAATTTTAGTAAATTTACAGAGTTGGACAGCCATCACTGTGCCCCATCTTAGAACCTATCTCCCCAAGAAATCCCTCATGTTTGTTTGGAGTCATTCTCGCATTCCCATCCCAGGGCCCACGCAACTACCAATCTCCTTCTGTCTCTGTGTATTTACTTTTTCTGGACTTTTCATATTAAAGGCATCGTACAATATGTGGCCTTTTGCATCTGGCCTTCACTTGGCATAATGGTGTAGAGGCTTATCCACGGTGTAGCATACATCAGTCCTTCATTCGTTTTTATCGCCTAATAGTATTCCATCATACACACGTATCATTCATCATTTGTTAATCCACTCATTAGTTCATGGTCGCTGTGTTACCTCTACTTCTTATCTATTATGAAGAAAGCTGCTATGAATGTTTAAGTACAAGCCTCTGTGTGGACATATAGTTAGAAGTGGAATAGCTTTTTAAGACACTGCCAAACTTTTCTAAGGTGCCTGCACCATTTTACATTCCCTCAGCAATGCGTCATGCTGCAGTTTCCTCACATCCTCAACAATGTTCATTATTTCCTCTTTTTATGTATTTATTACTGTGGATATGTATCTCATTTTGGCTGTAACTTGCATTTCCCTAATATCTAATGATACTGAGCATCTTTTCTTGTGCTCTTAGCCACTCATGCATCTTCTTTGTTTATATGTCTATTCAAATCTTCTGCTCATTTTTCAGTTGGATTGTTCGTCTTATTATTGTGTTGTAAGAGTCCTTTATATATTCTAAATACCTTTTCTTAATGGTGTCTTTTGAAGTGCAAACATTTTCAATTGGCTGAAGTTCAATTTTTCTTTTCTTTTATCGTGTCATACCTAAGAACTCTTTGCTCAATCCAGGATCGTGAAGATTTTCTCCAATTTTTTCTTCTAAAATGTTGTAGTTTTAATTCTTACATTTAGCTCTATGATTCATTTTGAATTAATTGCCATATGGGTATCCAACTTTTCAAGCAACATTTGTTAAAAGGACTATCCTTTTCCCATGTGAGTTTTTTTAAGTTATATTTTTAAATATTCTGTTCCATTGTTCAGGTTTTCTACTTTGGGGTCCCCATTTATGACCTTAATAATTCTCCTTGGTTTTCTTCTATATCTGTCATTTTCTCCCTGATCCTTTTTGGATCTTTATTTCCATCTTATTTTGGTCGCTTCTCTTATTTCTCTGCCTCTCACTGGATTGTCTGCAGAGTCTAATGTCCCTTGGGCTTCCTTTCATGTGGTCTTCCTTCCTGTGATGTTTTTGTTTTTTTTCTATTCGTTTTCTGAGTTTTGCCGGCTCACATGTCCTTGTCTGAGTCCTGAGTTCGTTCTGGGGGTGTATTTTTGCTGGCACTTTCTGTACTCGGCTCCCATCAAGCCATGACTCTCGCTGTCTGTCTTGCTATTCATTCCCCGCAGGTGACTTCTGCCACCCTTCAATACTTGCAGCTCCTAGGGCACTCACAGTTGCTTTTGGCAGCCCTTATGTGTATTTTGAGCCTGCAGATTCTATCTGTCTCCTTGTTTTGCTGAAAATGGAGTTATTTTCCTTCTCCTTGTTGCTTTTGTATGCTCTCCAAGAGTAGAAGAAAATTGCTATCTTATATCAGCACGCTCATATCTGAGAACCCCAGTCATGGATCTCTGCTTATTTATCATTCCAGTGATTCACTCAGTGCCAGGGTCTGAAACTGGCATCTTTTCAACAATTCTGGATAATTATAAAATACTTTCTCTTTGAAAATTACCTCTTCCCCTTTCCTTTCCTAGCTCTGTCTCGAATTCACTCTATCCTCTGTGGAACTTCTCATTCTGTTCTGCACATTTTAAAATCTTTTGGGACTTCTCTGGTGGCGCAGTGGTTAAGAATCCGCCTGCTAACTCAGGAGACACAGGTTCGAGCCCTGGTCCAGGAAGATCCCACATGCCGCGGAGCAACTTAGCCCGTGCGCCACAACTACTGAGCCTTGTGCTCTAGAGCCCATGAGCCACAACTACTGAGCCCTAGTGCCACAACTACTGAAGCCCATACACCTAGAGCCCGTGCTCCGCCATAAAAGAAGCCACCACACTGAGAAGCCCACGCACCACAACAAAGAGTAGCCCCTGCTCACCGCAGCTAGAGAAAGCCCACGCGCAGCAACAAAGACCCAACACAGCCAAAAAAGAAAGAAAGAAAGAAAGCTATTAAATCTGGCCCATTTAATATGGACCATTACAAAAAAAATCTTTCTTCCACGTTTTTCATCTCTCTGGGCTGCGTTCTGCATAATTTCTTCTAGATTTTTCAGGAGAGGCCTTAGGTAATCAACCATTCTATTGAAAACTTCTGGCAGATCCCTATACCTCTCCCTCGCTCCATAGCATTTTCCACCACTTGACACACTGTATTTTATGTATGTTGCCTTTTTTGCTCCCACTGTTCTCTTAAATTCCTGAGTAAACTTTTGATTCAAGTATAACACATCTATGGAAGACGACACAAACCAAAGCGTCCAGCTCAATGAATTATCGCAAGGCAAACATACCCACGTAACAACATTCAGACCACGAAACAAAGTCCCAACATCCCAGAGGCCCATTTGAGCCCCTCAGCCCCCCTCTGCCAAGGGCTGCTATCCCTCTCCCAACTGCCAGTTGCTTTTGTCTGGTTTTTAACTTTATATAAAAGAAATCATATAATATGTATTGTTTTGTGCCTGGCTTCTTTTGCTCGTTATTTTATTTGTGAAATGCATTCACAAACCTAGATGCTGTTGGGTGTAGCTGTGGCTCATTTATTCTCGTTGCTGTATAGTATTCCATTGTGCAAATACCGTAATTTATTTATGCCTTCTATTGCTGAAGGAGATTTTGGTGGTTGCTAATTTTGGACTGTTATGAGTAGTGCTACTGTGAACATTTTTCTTTTGATAATGCTGTTCTATGCCTTTCTGTTGGTTGTATACCTAGAAGCAGAATTGCTGGGGTAGAGGGTATGTATATTGCTTCTTAGATGCTTGTTTTCTTGGAACTTTATCTGTGGGAATCCTTTGGGACTTGACCCAAATTTCACGCTCCAGTGAGGATTTGTCTTTGCCTCCTCTAGTTACCTGGGGCACTGCCAACCAGAGACTGCGTCAAGTTTTCTCCGGACCGTGCAGGTGGCATGAGTGCAGAATGCAACCTGCATGAGGCCCCACTTGTGGTTACAAATTTTCAGGAAAATTCCTGCCCCTCTACCCGGAGCCACGCTGGAGATGGGCGAGTTTCCTTACTGTCTTCTTCTGTGTGGTGGATTCTTTCTCACTGATTGAGGGTTTAGGGTTTGCAGTGCCAGCTCTGCATAGCAGACTAGTTTGCTCGGGCTGCCATCAGAATGTACTGCAAATTGGGCGGCTTATAGCAACACGAATGAGTTCTCTCACAGTTCTGGAGGCTAGAAGTCTGAAATCAAGGTGTTGGTGGGTTGATTCCTTCTGACGGAGCCGGGGGAGAGTCTCTTCCACGCCTCTCTCCCAGCGCCCACGTGTTGCCTGCCATCTTTGGTGCTCCTTGGCTTGTGACGTATCACTGCATCTCTGCCTCCATCTCCACTCGGCGTTCTGCCTCTGTCTCTGTGTCTCTACAGGCCTGTCATCTCTCTGTCCCTCTCCTCTGCTTATAAGGACACTAGTCCTTACGGGTTAAGGGTCCAACCTACACCAGTACGATCTCGTCTTACCTAATTACAGCTGCAATGACCCTATTTCCAAATAAGGTCACATGCATAGGTAGCAGGGATTGGGACTTCAACATAGTTTTACAGGGGATGCAATTCCACCCATGTCACATGGGGTGTCCTGTTAGACTGCCCACCCCGGGCAGTGCTCGGCTCTCTCTCCTGGGCCCTGGCAGTCGTCAAAGAGAAGAACCGGTTCTCCAAGATTTGCCAGAAACTCAGAGGACAAAAGTCCGCTCTGCTTCCGCTTGCCTCACAGACTTTCTGCTTTTACTTTATTTTTGGTTGCTGTGGATTTCTTGCTTTTATGTCAACCCAGCAATACATCTCATAAAAAGAATCCCTTGGGAATTCCCTGGTGGTCCAGTGGTTAGGACTCCACGCTTTCACTCTCATGGGCCCGGGTTCGATCCCTGGTCGGGGAACTAAAATCCCGCAAGCCACACAGTGCGGCCAAGAAAAAAAAAAAAAGGAGAGAGATTCCTTTATGCTTCACCTAGCTTTTCCCCCCTCTTGTCTTTTTTTAAATAAATTTATTTATTATTTTATCTTTTGGTTGCGATGGGTCTTCGTTGAGGTGCGCGGGCTTCTCATTGCGGTGGCTTCTCTTGTTTCGGAGCGTGGGCTCTAGAGCGCAGGCTCAGTAGTTGTGGCGCACGGGCTTAGCTGCTCCGCGGCACGTGGGATCTTCCCGGGCCAGGGCTCGAACCCATGTCCCCTGCATTGGCAAGCGGATTCTTAACCACTGCGCCACCAGGGAAGTCCCCCGCTCTTTTCAGTAAGGATCATGGCCAGGAGACCCAGCCTGCCAAGCCCATCACTGGCTGTGTCCATGCTTGTTCCCCTACCCCACTCCTCTGCACAGCAGGCCCTTCGTGTCAGATGTCTGCCCACGCCAACAAAACCCTGGGGCTCCCGAACCCAGGACCCACTCCTCCTGTGCCTACCCGCCACCCAGAAGGAAGACCCTACCTCAGGGCAGGCCCCTGGCCTTGGCATCTTGCCTGAGTTAGGGGCACGGGCTCTGGAACTGAATGCCTGCTTTATACCACCTGGTTGTGCCACCACAGGGAAGCTGCTTCCCGTCACTAGCCTGGGTTTTCCCACCTGTAAACTGGGGACTCCGTAAGGCTGTGTGACACTGAGCACAGTGAATGCTCCGGCCAGCCGGCTGTGCTCATCAAAGCGCGTCCAGCCTGGACTGGCCTGCAGCCCACCTTCCAGTAGGAGGGGTCCAGTGAGGATGCTTAGCAGATCCTAGAGGGTAGAATTAGCCCAAGAAAGGTCCTCTGAAGGGACACAGTGAGCGAACACTGTCCCTCAGACCTCCAGCCCCCACCCCCTGCTCGTGTCTCTGTGTCTCAGGGAACGTCTACCATTACGTGCCCTGGTACAACACCAAGCCCGTCGTGGCCGTGACCTCCTACTGGGAGGACGTCAGCTTCCGCATGAACTGCCTCAACCTCCTCCAGTTCACTCGGGACCGCCTGGTGAGTGGTGTGGGCACGGGGGATGGGGTGGTGGTACAGGGAAGGACCCGGGTCATTGATGGGAGACTTGGGAAAATGAATCGCAGTCTTAGGAAGCCGGTCACTCAGCTCTCTCATGCACTGCACACCAATTGGGACGGACGTGCCAGACACAGGCACTGAAGACACAACGATGGGTAGACACAGTCTTCGCCAGCAGGGAAGTCGGATACGCAAATAGGCGGTACGCGGTGCAGTAGGGCTGCGGTGGAGATGCAGGAGAACCATGGGGGCAGAGAGATTGGGGTGGGGGAGATGAAGAGAGGAGAGTCAGAGGAGGTGTTCAGAAAGGACAGTCTTGCTGGGGGCAGTGGTGGGGTGCAGAGAAGGGAACGACGGGCAGAGCCATGGCGATAGGAAGTTCGGGGTTGGTGGGGGCCTGGAGGTGAGGTGGAAATAAGGCCAGGGAAGCTGGGAGGGGTCCGATCACAAAAGTTCTTCGTGACTGTTAAGGAAGGAAGCCGCAGAGCAGTTTTAGGCAGGAGAGCCACCTGGTGTCCCCGCCTCAGACACAACTTTCTTGCACCAATAGAAGAGGAGCCCAGCGTCAGGGCCCTGCAACCTCTTCACGGTCCCACCCTGTCCTGGCTCCTTCCCCCCACCCATTGGGAGGGTGGGTGGGAATCCTAGCCTTGCAAGGGCGTGTGACAGCTTCGGACTGACATCCCCAGGTTACCCCTCAAATGTCCCCAAGTCCTGGCTGAAACCATCTTGGGCCAATCAGCCCTGCAGCCTGTCCTGAGGGAGCCCCATGCTCACTTGCCACTTCTCTCCTGCTGGGCAGAAAGCCAATCTGGACACCCTGAAATCCATGAGGAATCCAAGGGACCCGGCTCTGCTCCCACAGTGGGAGAAACTGCTGAGGGAGCTCATGGAGGACTGCAAGTAGGGGCGGTGGGCCCCTCACCCGGGGCAGGGGCTGAGCCAGATCAGGCTCACACAGGGTCTGGGGGGCAGACAGGACCCCACAGAACAACGCTCAGCACCACCCTTCCGCACCCCTGCCTCCGCAGGGAGTATGAGCTCTGCGCAGATCTCTCCCCAAACCACAGAGCTGCCTCTCTCCCATTCAGGGACCCCTGAAATGACCCTGACCTCCCCACCCGTCATTGTGCCCCCCACACCCATGCCTGGGGCTCCTTCCAAACCAACCTCCCCGTTGTCCAGGCAAGCCCTGCACAGTCCCGGCCCGTACCTTTTCCCCTGCCGCTCCTTCTATCCACAAGGCCCTCTTTGGGGTTCTGCCTGTTCTGGAAGAGCCATTGTAAGGCTCCTCCTGGCCCGGCAGCCCACATGGATCCTCTCCCCTCCCGCCCGGGTTTGGTTGGCCCCTGTCTCACAGCTCACACCTCTGTCCACGAGGAGGTCCTGAGCACGAGCCTGGCACACTGCAGGGGCTGGGAGGATGGGAAGGGGAAGGATGAGGACCCAGGGGCCAGGACCACAGTGAGTGAGCTTCCTAAGGAGGGTGGGCAGGGATCCCCGGGTCAGGCCAGCAGGCGTGGGGCAGGATCTTGGGTCTAGGAAGGGCACTGAGGCCAGGCGGGATGGTGAGCAAGGGACATGGAGAGAGACTCAGCCCCCGCCCTCCCGGTCCTGGCCACAGGTGCCCACTGCCCTGCATGACTGATCAGCCCAAAGCAACGGACCTGGACAAGAAGAGGTGGCAGCTCCGCAGCCTCCTTCTGCAGGAGCTGGCCCGGAAGGCCAAGGAAGCCCAGCCCAGGGACATGGTGGCCACCGTGGAGGGCTGGCTGTACCGCCTCAATGCCGTGCTCCCCGAGGTGGGTGCTGGATACTCCGGCCGGGAGCGGGCCTTGGAGCCGGCCACGTGGGCCTGACGCTCTCCCGCCCGGCAGCCCCAGATAAACCTCCCGGACGTGATGATCTGGCTGATGTCCCGGGAGCAGCGAGTGGCCTATGCACAGGTGCCCGCCCACACCATCCTGTTCTCCCCGACCGGCGCCCGGCACTCCGGCAGGTTCTGTGGGAAGACACAGACCCTCTTCCTGCAGGTGGGGAGGCCAGGGGTCCTCAGGGGAGGAGGGGGCCCAGGACGTCCCAAGGGAGAAGCCCTGAACCCCCGCCCGGGCAGCCACCATGAGCCTCCCAAGGGCATGCCCACTTCCTCTCTGTCAGGCCCTTTACCAGGTGAAATGGGGTTTAAACAGTTCTCCAGAGGAAGGCGGGGGCCTGGGACCATCAGCATGTGGCCGACACCAAGTCCACGCCACCATAAACATTCCTCAAATTTGTCCCCTCCGTCATCCTGATGCTTCACTTGGTCCTGTCCCTGTCCTGTCTCCCCTGGACCACGATTGGCTGCTATCTACATATTTAATACCTATAAGGTTTGGGTGCCAGCCCCTCATATCAGACACAATCCATAAATAAGGCTGACTGACCACAAGTCCCCTGCCCTGAAGATGGCCCTGTGCTTCCAGCCCTCCCCCTGGGAGGCAGGTGGGGGACACTGCCTCCGTCTCGGAGACGTCCCTGGCTCCCCACTGCCCTTTCCGCCATGGTGGAAGGGCCCACCTGAGTCCTTCTCATCCTGCAAGAATCACTGAGACTTGAATCCTGGCTCTACCACTTACTGGCTTGTGTGAGCCGGAGCCAGCTCCTGACTGTGTCTGGCCTCAGCCTGCTCCTCTGTGAAATGGGCCTAGCGATAATGATGCCCACCTTGTGGTGGTGTGTGAGGATCAGAGCACTTAGCACGTTGCCTGGCGCATAGCAAGCATCATTGTCAATGGCACCATCAGCACCAGTCCTCCCTGGAGCATTCCCAGGTTCCCCAGTGGCACCCGTACCAGCCTCTGTTATGGCCAGCACCCAGCTCAGTGTGAGGCCCCTGCTCCCAGGGCTCAGGGTGAAGGGGCAGGTGTGTGTGCCCCTCCCTCACCCGCACCCCTGTCCCTGGGGGTCTGCACCCCCGTGGTTGCTGACCTGCCTCCGGCTCAGTACCCAGAGGGTGAAGGAAAGAAGGACACGCTCCCGGCCCAGCTCCGGGTCTGCATGTGGCTCGGCAACGTGGCCGACAGCAAGGATCTGCAGCTGCTCTGCCAGGGCGAAGTCGTCGTGTCCGCGGAGACGGTGAGCGGGGGCCCCGGGTGGGGCCGGCGGGAGGGTGACTCGGCAACAGCCCAGCTCCGAAGGTGGAGAACATCACTGGCAGAACCTGAGAACCGTGAAAGGGGCTCGAGAGAGGTGGCAGAAACTAAAGAGGTCCCCTGTTGACAAGCCATAGGCTGCGGTGACAGGAGGGCAGCTGAATGGTCCCCTGGGGCTGGTCACTCTCACCCAGACGGAGGTTTATGGGGAGTTTCTCCCAATTCGTTCAGGGTATGTGAGGTGAGCCAGGCTCCGACTGCTTGCAGGGGGTCTCGTCCATCATCAGCGTGACAGCCCGGGACCCCTGCCGACCCCAGCTGGGTCCTGCAGGCCAGCCTGGTGGTCCCGGGGAGGGGGAGACCTGGGACAGTCGGAGGAGCCGGAAATGAGGCATGTTCCCTTAGAACCGTAAACCCAGGAGGTGTGTGAGCAGCCGGCCAGAGGCCGCTCTGTAATCAGAGGAAGGGAGGACATGGCTCAGGAGAAGGTCCTGAGAACAGAAGAGAAATAAGTTTTGAAGTTTCGGGCTTTTTAACTTACTTTGTCAAAACATTTTCATGGTTCCTAAGTTGCATGTTGTGGATAGATTGTAGAACTTGGAGGTGTTGAGGCAGAGAGGGATTTAGGATGAGTGCGTGCCCAGAAGGGGAATGTGGAAGAAAGATCCAGAGGCAGCGAAGACGGGGCAGTGGTGGAGCAGGACCAGGTTCCCCAGGGTCAGCTGTGACACGGGGTGGACAGGTCATCACATCCCAGGCACCACCAGGCTCTAACACAGGCATCCACCCCACTCCACTCCTCGAGAGCTGAGCCGCCTGGGGTAGAGGTGACCTTTGAGCCTCAGTCTCCTCACCTGTGAAATGGGAGTGTGCGGCTGAAAGGGGATAGTTCATGTAATGCCCTTGGCATGGGCCCAGCCACAGTGAGCACTTGACGAGTGGCAGCTGCCTGTGCTGATTGACAGCGGGGGCAGTGCCGTCCCGTTACAAGCGACAACGCAGCTCCTGCCCCCAGGCAGGTGCCACATGGCCCTCTGCCTGACTACCACATTTCTGGGAGGTGCCTACAGCCCAGGGGGTGGGGGGTGCCTAGGGCCGGTGCTGGGTATGCTGGGGGTGGCAGCAGGCACTAATGGACTCCCCTCCCCCAGTACGAGAACCAGGCCAAGTATAAGGACCAGTGGGGACAGCAGTGGCTGCAGCACTGCCCCAGCTTCTCGGACGTCATGGGGCACAAGGCCCTCCCCAAGGAAGATTTCAAGGAGCCCCATGGATGGCACTGGCAGGGGCCATGGACAGTGGAACCTCAGCGGAGGTAAGGCTGGGATGCGGGACCCGGAGCCTGTGTGCCCCTGGACAGGCAGCAGTGGAGCTGACACTTCTTTTTACCCAGGAGGGCCAGTAGGCAGCAGCCCAGAGAGATGGGCACACAGCCACTGCTGCCTGGTCCCGGGGGCTGGGGTGCATAGGACAGGGGTACCTGCCCGCCACCCTACCCTGCATGCCAGGCCCCGCTGCCCAGCCTTGCCCAGAGCAGGTGGGGCTGCCAGGTACGGCAGCGCTCAGCCAACAGAGGAGGACCCCAGGGGCCTGTAAGCTCAGGGAGATATGCTGGGAACTTGGGGTCTCACTGCCCCCAGGCTCCTCCTGGACACAGACATCAACAAGAGCCAGGTGCTGGAGGAGGTGTACGAGAACCAGCGCCGGGACGCCACGGGGGCCTGGGTGCCTGCCGCCGTCCCCAACACAGACGCGGTGAGCAGGGGGCGCGGGGGGCAAGCGATCCAACCAGGGGGGCACCTTGGAAGCTGGGGTGTCTGAGTGGAGCACTGGATCAGGCGTTACCATCTGAGCCCTGCTCCCTGGTGTGACCTTGGGTGAGCGCTGATGGGGTTTGTATCCCAAGGTGGTGGGGAGAGGTCCCCTAAATGGGACTGGAAGAACGACAGAGTGGGCACCTTTCCTTCCCCCTTTCGAAGGTGGCGCTTTTACCCAGAATTCAAAGTTGAGTAAGGAACTGAACTTTGAATTTTGTTTCTTTTTTTCTGGCTGCACTGCGCGGCACGCGGGATCTTAGTTCCCCGACCAGGGATCGAACCTGGGCCTCCAGCCGTGGAAGCGCGGAGCCCTAACCAGTGGACCACAGAGGAATTCCCAAATTTTGTTTCATTTTTCACGAACTTAAATTTAAGGAGCCCCAGGAGGCTGGTGGCCACTGATTGGACAGTGAGGTTTAACCCATCTGTCACGCATGCTGGTCTCCCCTTCCCAAGAGCCGCCTTGGGCAGGCAGCAGCGTCCAGCTGAGATTCAGTCACACTATTTTGCTTTCACAGTCATTCGTACGGTTGTTTCCTATTTATGGTGAGTGGTTCCGCTGATGCTGCTTATATACAGTTTCCTTTAAAAAATACACGTACGGTTCGGAAAGGCAAGCCAGTAAAAGCATATTAAGTGAACATGTGGGTGGCATCAGACGTAACAAGAGTGGTCTGCTCCTGGGGGCTGGAGGCCACGATGGCTGTAGTAGGCGGGCAACACGGCCCTTGGCCCGCCCTCTCTGTGCACCCACAGAACGGAGAGCCCGTGGAGGCCCGGGAGAATGTGAAGTGCCCCCAAGGCTGGCACGTGAAGAAGCACTGGGCTGTGGAGCTGAACCACGCGGTAGACAGTGAAGGTCAGTCCTCTGGGCAGCGGCTAAGGGCGGCAGGGCCTGGAACTGAAAGTAGCCAGGCTGTTGGGTGGGGTAGGCCTGAGCTCCTGGGGGGCCTCAATCTCCGGAGAGCAGGGCTTTTTGCGGTACACGGGCCTCTCACTGTTGTGGCCCCTCCCGTTGCGGAGCACAGGCTCCGGACTCACAGGCTCAGCGGCCATGGCTCACGGGCCCAGCCACTCCGTGGCACGTGGGATCCTCCCGGACCGGGGCACGAGCCCGTGTCCCCTGCATCGGCAGGCGGACTCTCAACCACCGCGCCACCAGGGAAGCCCTGGGCCCTAGCTTTGAGACAGGGCAGGTGCTAAGCGCCTCCTGAGCACGTGAACTGAGGTCGCCTCCAGAGCCTGGTTCACCCCAGGTGGCTCCAGGGAAGGGGCGGTGGGCTGGGAGTCGGAAGACCTGGGCTCAAGATGCAGCCTCTGCTACTTACGGGCTGTGTGACCTTGTGCGGGTCCCAGGATGCCTGTGAGCCTCACCTTCCTTGTCTGTAAGATGGGCAGTTGAGCCCAGGCCGCCGGGTGACGCAGTGTGACCACACCTTCCTTTGTGGCCGGAGAGACCTGGACGTGAGGGACAGTACTGCCCCCTCGGCCTGCCCTTCCGGGGCTTATCTCTCAGACCTGTCCGAGCCCCCGAGCCTGTGGGCCCCTGGACACCCACGGGCTGTGTCCTGGTCCCTCAGGCTGGGAGTACGGAGTGGGCATCCCGCCCTCGGGGCTGCCCCAGGTCTGGAACTCGGTGGAGAAGACCTACTACTCCTGCCGCCGCCGGCGCTGGGCGCGCGTGCGCTACCGGGACCACGGGAGGCTGAGCCACGAGCAGGAGACCCTGTCCTTCCTGCAGCTGGTGAGGGGCCGCCTGGTCAGGGACCTGGCGGGACCATGGGTGGTATCCACCCTTGGCCAGGTGATAGGGCGACTCTGCTCTCCCCGCAGCACCACCCCAGCCTGGCTGAGGACGAGGAAGGCTGGGAGTACGGCGTCTTTGGCTCCAAGTTCCACCTGAACCCTCAGCCCCAGAGCCAGTTCCGCCGCCGCCGCTGGCACCGCAGGCTGGCCCCCAGCAAGGTCAAGGGCATTGCACCCATATTCCTCCTGGAGGGATCCTTGGTAAAGCCCCAGTGGGCTAGGTGTCCCTTCCCTGCAACCCCACCTCCGGAGCCAGGGCCCCCTGGTGCGCCAGGCAGATGGAGACGCCCTGTGTGGCCAGATGCACTGACCACTGCAGGTGGGGGCACCTGGGCCCCGGAGCCACATCCTCAGGCTTTGGATGGGGAGAAGGGTGACCTGGGCCTGGGCTGGGGGAGGCAGGAAAGGCACCTATGAGCCTCAGGGAGTCTGTCCTGGGCACAGAGTCTAGATATGAAACAGCAAGCTAAGAGGGAAGCGGACATGGTGTCGTCGACACGGAGACTGGACAGAATCAGGAGCTCCTGGAGGGCTCCCCCAGAGATCACCCAGCCACCCAACCTGCCCTTCATCTACTGCATCTTCAACAGTGAGCATTCAATTGAGAGTCGGCTTGGGTGGCCCCGGAGACACCCAGCACCTGAGGGCAGGGAGCAGGGGGCTTGGGGTGGGGATCCTGGGGGCGGGGGGCGGACACAGCCTCTCTCTTACCCAGAGCCCCACTACTACCAGCTCTTCTGCTACATCTACCAGGCCCGGAACCTGATGTCCAACCGCACGCAGACATTCCAGGGTAGGCGTGGGCACCTATTCTCCCCCAGCCCCTCCATGTGGCCACCCAGTATAAAGGATAAAGGATAAAGGATGCGTAAAGGCAGTATAAAGGATGCGGCGAGGAGGGGGTGATGCACACGCGGACCCCTGCCCCCAGCAGCTCATGGCCCTGGTTTGGGGAAAAGACACAAGAACAAGGAATACAAGGCAGGACCGCTCTTGCGGTGGGTCCCCAACACTGTGGAATCAAGACAGGGAGGCTTCATCCCACTGGAGGCCACTTAGCTGAGCCTTGAAGAGGAAGGAGGACTTGCTGGGCCTTGACAAGGAAGAGGGAGGATGAGACACAGGGAGAGAGAGGATGACACGCTTGGGAAGCACTTGTCCCTTCTGCTGGACAGAAGATGAGGGCTGGGGCGGAGGGGTGGCAATTTCGAGCCCTGTGTGGAGGCCGCATGGGAGGTTTCGGGTGAGTCACGTGCTCCTGCCCTGGGCTGGCAGTGGCCTTGTTTGTTGGGAGCCAGACTGTTGGACGAGGGTCTGAGCCAGGGCAGTGGGTGTCTGCTGGGAGCCGTGTCCACTGGGCATCAGCACCCTTATCGAGAGGGCCGTGTGATGTTCCTTGATGCCAAGGCCAGTTGCTGATGCTGTGCAAGGGCAGCCACGTGTAGCCTGGTCCCCAGAACCCCTCCAGAGGAGCCACCGGGCCCTCTGCGTCTGTGACGGCTAGGCCCCAACCATGACGGTATAAGGGGCCTCTAGCTATAAGCCCATATGCTCTGTGGCTTACTCTGAGGTGGCCTTCTGGGGAGCTGGAGTGGCTGTGGCTGTCTGGCCCGAGCCTCCCCAGGTACCCAGTCCAGTGGTGGCAGCAGCCAGAAGAGAGGAGAGCCTCACTCGGCAGCTCAAAGGCTCGGGTCTCCTTCCACCCACAGCGCCCTTCATTCGGTTGGTCTTCTTGAACCACATCCAGTGTACCCAAACCCTGAAGAGCTCTGCAGCCCCTACGTGGGCCCAGACGCTCATCTTCCAGCACCTCCTCCTGTACGAGAACCCCCAGGACACCAAAGAGAGCCCACCATTTGTGGTATTGGAACTGTGGCAGCGGGACCCCCAGGTAAGGTGGGCTGGGCTGGGCAGAGCTCTGAGAAGTTTTTAATGTATTTTTTTGGCCGTGCCATGCGGCATGCCGGATCTTAGTTCCCAGACCAGGGATTGAACCTGTGCCCACTGCAGTGGAAGCACGGAGTCCCAACCACTGGAGCGCCAGGGAATTCCGTGAGGAGCTTTAATTTAATTTTATTTTTTGCGGTACCCGGGCCTCTCACTGTCGTGGCCTCTCCCGTTGCGGAGCACAGGCTCCGGACGCGCAGGCTCAGCGGCCATGGCTCACGGGCCCAGCCGCTCCGTGGCACGTGGGATCCTCCTGGACCGGGGCACGAACCCGTGTCCCCTGCATCGGCAGGAGGACTCTCAACCACTGCGCCACCAGGGAAGCCCAGGAGCTTTTATTTTAGAGGAGAATATTCGGAAAGTGCTCCAGCGGGACCTGATTCACAGAGCACATCGCATTGATCCTAGAGTTGTCAGCATCCCAGGAGGAGCCAGACCCCTGCCAGCCTGGCCTCCATGTTTGGTGAACTTCCCCTTCCCTCCAGGGCAATGAGAGCTTGTGGGGACGGAGCATGTGGTCACCGGTGGTCTGGCTGGATGTCCAAAAACGGATCCTGCCCGCCATGAGGTGGCACCCCCTTGTAAAAGGGTTGGAGGAGGAAGAGGGCGAGATCTTGGCGTCCTGTGAGCTGATCCTCGAGACTGAGGTGCTGGGAGAGAGGGCCCGGCTGGGAGTGTGGTGCCCAGCGCCCTCACCCTGCCCCACTCCCCTGCCACATGTCCCCACAGCCAGCGGCCCCCAACCGCAGCCCCTCAGCAAAGTCCTGGGGCCCGGGAACCAGAACACTGGGCTGGGAGGTGCCGGCCTGCCCAACCTCTCCCTAACTCCCCTGCCAGCTTCTGCCCATAGGGCTCCGGGGCCGCCGCAGTTGAGCCTCTTAGGGTCCTGCTTGCATGCGTGGGGGGGTGGGGGACAGTAGGACCAGCCCAACAGGGCCTCAGGCTCCCTGCTCTCCAACCTCATCCCTTCAGAGTCTCAGACAGCAGCTGCCAATCTTAAGTGTTCCCTGGAAGAATGGGATCTACATCCTCCCCAAGAGCATCCAGCCCACGCTAAGGAAAATGGCTATTGAGGTGATGAAATGTGGAGCAGGGTGGGTGGGAAGGGCGCAAGCCACCCCCGGAGCAGTCGAGCACCACGGTGCGCTCTCTGCTGACCCTCTTGGGCCTTCTGTCTACCTGCTCCAAAGCTTGGACCCCGAGAAGATACCATGTGAGAGATGGAGGGAGACAGGAGAGAAATGAAGTTCTGATAGAACATTTAAAAGTATTTTAATGCAAACCTGTGCAGTGGGTCGTAGACAAAGGGCTCTAGCATTCATTACCTACCGGATGTAAGCCTCACGAGGCCCCTGTGCAAAAAGTAGGGACGGCCTTCCAGAGACGGAAATTCAGGCTCTGAGAAACAACACATCCACGCACAGTGACACAGGGGCTCAGTGGCAGCGCCATAGTTTAGGCCCGGCCCTGCCTGACTCCAAATGCCAGGATGTTTCGCACCTCTTCTGAAAGTAGCATGGAGGCCCCCAGGTCAGAACCTACGTGCCCTGCCACAAACCTGGCAAGGAGCGGAAGATGGTCAGGTCCTCCCGGCACTGAAGCCAAGATCAGACCACCTGGCTGGTTTCCACTCTGGCCCTGAGGTGGCCCAATGAGTTGGGTGTGGACAGCTCCTGGGGTACCCAGTGTTTGTCCGTTGAGAGTGAGATCCCAGGGTGCTGGCTCGCTGACCGGCCGTGGAGTTCTGTGGGATCCAGGTCAGCCACGAGCTGGACGGCACCGAGGTGCCCAAGAACCCCGGGGCACTCCAGCTGCTGCGGGCCTGGGAGGCAGCCGGCAGTGGGAAGTAACCCCTGAGAGAGATGATTAGAGGCCAGATGGGCAGCAGGGGAGGAAGGGCAATACCTAATGGGCACCTCCCTCGTGGAGGAGCGACGACAGCGTCCAGGCCTGGAGGACTCATCCCTCACAGGACAGGAGGCCTGGGTGAGCCTTCAGACTCTGCCTTCACCCAGCCTCGTGCCCTGGCCCTGCAGGCCCCCCGGGGCCCCACTGCTCCCAGGCCAGGACCCCATCAGAGGGGCCGCCTGCCCCTTTCCCCACCCTCCCTCTCTGTTCTGGCAGATGCTGATCTGGGGCCTTCGGAACATGAAGCAGGTGCGTTCGCCCCGGCTCCTGGTGGAATGCTGGGAAGAGTCCGTGCAGACAGAGCCCATCAGGGACTTCCAGACCAATCCCAACTTCACCCAGTCAACCCTCTTCCTCACGCTGGTGAGAAGGCCTTGGGCCAGGGCTGGGGCAGCCCCGGCTTGTGGGAAGCCTCACGCTCTGGCCTCTCCTTGGGGCTGCAGTACATGCCTACGGATGAGGCCTTCGCGCTGCCCCTGGTGCTGAAGGTGGTGGACAACCAGGACTTCGGCCAGGAGACCGTGGTGGGTCAGGCCAACGTTGACTCCCTACAGCCCTACTTCTGTGACCCCTGGGCTGAGGACTACATGCCCCCACGGCCTCCAAGTACGGCCCTTTCTCTTTGCCCCTCCCCAGACCTCACCAACAAGCTGGCACTGGGAGTGGCCAAGGCCCTGGCTGTCCTGCCGGGTTGGTGCCCACCCCCCTTCTCCGTTCCCCTGAGACTCATGACTGCGCTTTCTCCACACAGTGCTGTCTGGGAAGAAGTACCAGGAGGTGAGTAAACGGCTGGAGGCCCCGTGCCATTTACAGGAAACAGCCCTTGTGCCTGAGGAGGGGACAGATCCCGATATCCGCGCCCCCAGCGTGAGGCCTACTTGTTCACGAGAACGCGAAAGCAGTGATCTCAACCTGGACTGCACATTAGAAATGCCCGAGAGTTTTAAAAATCCGGAGGGACTTCCCTGGCCGTGCAGTAGTTAGGACTCCGCGCTTCCACTGCAGGGGGGATGGGTTCGACCCCTGGCCGGGGAGCTAAGACCCCATGTGCTGCACAGCCCGCCCCTCGCCCCACACACACACACACACAAATGGCTTCTGACCAGTTGCTGGGGGTAGGAACCAGAAGCAGCAATTATTTTATTCAAACCACCTACACCCCACCCCCACCCCAGGTGATTCCAGCGTTTCCAAAGTTCAGAACTGCTGCTCTAGAGCAGCACCTGTCAACCTCGAATGCACAGGAATCCTTTAGCACCTGGAGCAAAAGCAGATTCAGCTTCAGGAGGCCTAGGGTGGGGCCTGAGGCTCTGAACTTCTGAGCCCTTCCAGAGTTAAGTGTGGAGCTGTGGGCAATGAGAACCAAGAACTAACCTGACCCTCCTTCTCGGCCCCAGTCCTATGTCTGAGGATCCCTGAATTAAAAAGCCTCTGTGAAGGGCAAGGGAGCCAGAGCAAGGAAGCCGTGGCCTCGAACCCCTTCTGAGCTCGGAAGTCGGAGGCGGTGGGTGGACCGGGCGGCCAGGCCTTGCCTAGCTCACCGCAATCATTTTTCAGCTCCTAGGTTACCTTTACGAAAAGTTCTGGTTCAAGTCCAGCAACGCTGAGGTGATGTAGGCTCAGCCCCGGGGAATAAGGAACAAGTCCAGGCAGCTCAGGGAGGTGGGGCAGCATGACTCCGGGCAGAGGAAGGCCACTGTGCCTTCTCCCCGAGGGCCAAAATGCCCCTCCTCCTCACTGCCAGGATGAACACAACCAGGAAGTGGACTGGTGGAGCAAGCTGCTCTGGGCCACAGGAGATGCTCCCCTGTCCCTAAAGTACAAGTACAAAGAGTATCACACCCTGAAGGTTTGCAGGCCCCTACGAGGGGAGACTGATGAAGGATGGAGAAAATCTGCGGGGAGAGGCCAACAAACCCAGCCCCGAGTCCTTGGGGAACCACCAAGTCGGGGGGTGGCTTCCTTTTCACAAGACTCCTGGCCATGCCGCCACAGGCCACACCCTTTCAGGAACCAGGGCTGCCCACCAGCAGCAGCTCTGCTGACCCCGGGGCAGATGCTCTGGGGCGAGACCTGGGTGGCCCCTCAACCCCCTGATCCTAGGAATGGTCCCCTCAAGCCCTGGCCAGCTCCCCCCGCCAGCCGGGTCCCACACGCCCTCCCACAGGTATACGACTGTGAGCTGGAGGCCGTGCCAGCCTTCCAAGGCCTGCAGGACTTCTGCCAGACCTTCAAACTCTACCAAGAATGGCCCAAGCTGGACAGCCCTGTGGTAGGGGAGTTCAAGGTGCGTGTCCCAGCCCTGCCTAGCTGCACCTGTCACCTCGTGCCCCTTCTGTCCAGGGGAGACGCTGATAGGAGCGCTGGCTCTATATGCTCGGCATGAGGATGGGGCACGGAGGGCTTGACAGTCTTGGGAGTGGGGGGCAGAGACTGACCTCTGCAGGGACTCAGGGTGGCCTCCCCCAACGCAGGAAGGGCGAGGGCTTCTCAGTCCCAGCTCGGGCTTGTGCTGCTCTCGGAGGCCCTAGAGCCTTCGAAAACAAGTGCGGACCCCAAGGGATGGGTGGGGGTGGAACGAGACCTCCCTTCAGCGGAAAACACCACCGTGGTTCCCGTAGAGCATCTCTGCGGCACGTGCCCCTACCCGTCCTCACGGGTTTCGTCCCTGCCACCCTCAACACAGATCAGGGGCACCTCCTGGAGGGCTCTACAGAGCCAGGCCGGAAGCCAATACCTTCCCCTCCCCAACACACACACACAGGGCCAATTCCGTGTCTACCCCTTTCCTGAGAATCCAGACACCCCCAAGCCCCCTCGCCAGTTCCTGCCTTGGCCTAAGAAAGAGGACTTCCCTCAGCAGTGCTTGGTGCGGGTGTACGTGGTGCGAGCAGTCAACCTGCAGCCCCAAGACACCAATGGCCTGGTAACGAGCAGCCCTGAACCACAGCGCTCATCTTCCCCAGCCCCCCAGCCCGGGCACCCCCCTCACCTCACCCTACACCCCAGCATCCCGGAGCTCCCTCAGGCTGACACCCAGACTGCCAACTTCCCACAGGCCCCATCTGGTACAAGGGGCTCCTTCCTGCCCCACTCCCGCCCTCCCTGACCAACCTGGGCTGACTCTCCATTTCCCGACCTTCTCTCACGTCTATCTGAACCCCAGTGTGACCCTTATGTGATCCTGAAACTGGGGGAGACAAAGCTTGGCAACCGGGACAAGTACCAGCCCAACACTCTGGACCCCATCTTTGGCATGTGAGATGCCCCAACGCACCCAACCCCACATCCCCGCTCTGTGTGCCAGGGGCAGTTCCAGGAGGCAGAGAACTCTCACGTTCCTTTCTAGCCTCCACGTTCCTAGCACAGTGTCCAACAGCTCTCCCCTCCCTCCTCAAACACTTTGCCTGGGAAGGGAGCTCAGAGTCCCACACCCCAGGCCTGTCAAAAGTTACTCCCAGCCACGACTGAGGGATGGCTATTGGCGGACAAGAGCCAACCCAGGCTCTGCTCTCCAAATTCACCAGGGCCAAACAGGGGGTAGAGCACGGGCACGTGTGCTTGGGATGCTGGAGAGGGAGCTGTGTAGATAACACGGTCCTCCGCCTCTGTGTCTCCAACACCCTCACCCAAGGATGTTTGAAATGAGCTGCACCATCCCCCTGGAGAAGGACCTAGAGATCCAGCTGTATGACTTTGACCTATTTTCACCCGATGATAAGATTGGAACCACAGTCATCGACCTTGAAAACCGACTCCTGTCTGGCTTTGGAGCTCGTTGTGGGCTCTCCAAATCCTACTGCCAGTAAGCGTGGACCTGAACCAGGGCAAGGGAGCACGGGGTGGGGCGTGGTGGTGGAAGAGTAAGCCCTCGGCTCCCCTCGAAGACGCCTGCATCCCAGGCTGGGGAACCAGGGCCGGTACCTGTCTGCACCCCTGCTCCCAGCACTGGTCAGCCTGCAGCTCGAAGCAGAGGCTTCTCCAGGACTCAGATGTCCCCACCTTTTCCCCACAGGTCAGGGCCCTTTAGGTGGCGGGATCAGATGCCCCCAAGCCTGCTCTTGGAACACCACGCCAAGCAAAAAGGACTGCCTCCGCCTCTGTTCAGCCCTGAGGATGACTCTGTGTTTTACAATGGGAAAAAATTCAGACTGCAAAGCTTTGGTGAGAAGCACAGCACACCGCCGGAAAGCACAGAGCTGGGCCTCTGCAACAAGTGGGGCTACAGGACGGAGGAGCTGCCAGAGGGCACCCCGCCTCCCCTTCTCGCCTGTAACGGATAACCAAGTCCACTGCCCAGGCTGAGGGTGGAGAAGGGGCCTACGTGGGAGACGGGAAGGCTAATGACCTCGTGATCCCCTCCTTCCATCCCCCTCCAATCTAGAGCTGAAGCCCCCTACTGCTCGCTTTTTGGGATCTAAGAAAGAACGCCTTGCGCTGTACCTCCTGCATACCCAGGGACTGGTACCTGAGCACGTGGAGACCCGCACACTGTACAGCGACAGCCAGCCGGGCATCGACCAGGTATGAGACTGGAGGGGCTGGATCAAGAGGTGGGGAAGCCCACCCATCCAGGACAAGAGGGGAAGGAGAGGCCGGGCACCCACAGATGTACGTGAAAAGAAGACAAGCACATTCTGCGCGTGTCAATAAGCAAGAAGTCGCAGTGGTGTCTCTTAGAATGGAGTTCAGAGCTGGAAAAGTCACCGACAAGAAACCGAGGCCCCATGTCAGCTGTGGAAGTGTTTCGGGGCCCTCCCCGCTGGTGCCAGCACTGCCTTAGTCTCTCCTGAGGGAGGGTAAGGAGGCAGCACCTGGGGTCAGAGTGCAGGCATCACAGCCCCGGCTTGGCTGTTAAGTGCAGGCTGTGTTTTCTCCACAGCAAGGAACCCCTAACAGGAGGAATAAAAATCCCCACAGGCACCCTAATTATCCCCTACCCTCCAACCACCAGAATGGCTCACCTCATTCTCCAAATCTCTCAAGCTGATAGCACATTCTAGATACAAAGTTCTCTACTGAGCACTTTTTAAAACCATCCTCATTAAACCTGTTTTCTCATTAAATGGGGCCAATTTCAAAAGAATGAAACTAGGTCACAGGGTTTGAAGGAACCTATCTTCCACTGTCGGTAGTTCTACCCTCTTAACTCTTTTGTCTCCCCTTTTCTTACCAGCTTCAACCCTTCTTTCCTAGACCCCTGTGCTTTGTGGATAGCTTGACATCCTTAGGATGTGGTTCCACAACATAAAATGACCTGGAGATCACCTAGTTTACTCTTACTCAGGGCCACTAAGGTGGCTAATAATTGCAGCCCCAATCCCATTCTGGAGCCCCATCCAGAGAGGCTGTCCAGCAGGACCTGTTAAATGGCATCAACCCTCCAGACCCCAGTTACGCTTGACATCCGTGCGCCACAGCCATCAGCCTCGTAGCCATCGTATGCTCCCAGCCTTACTGCACTATTCTCCCAGCCAAAAAAGGAAACAAGTGGAAGCTGACGGGCGGTGTGCTGACTTCCAGTCTGAAGTCCATCCCACCTCCCAGATGCCTCGATACCCCACAACTCGGTGTTGGAGTCACAGCCTCAGCAGACCTAGAAGCTGAGACAGGGCCCCCACCCCAGACCAGGATGCTGAGAACGGGGGCTGGCCAACCCCAGCCAGCTAATCCATCTCCACTCTAGGGAAAGGTGCAAATGTGGGTGGACATCTTCCCCAAGAAGCTTGGGCCTCCTGGCCCCCCATTCAACATTAGGCCCAGAAAGCCTAGAAGGTGAGTGACACCCATCTTCCGAGCAACTGCACCACTCAGTGTGGCCTTCCCAGTGTGCTGAGCACCAGTGGGCTCCAACACTGAGTCACGGTGATTCTTTTCCTCTGTTGGGAATCTGGGGAGCCTCCTTTCCCTGTAGTCCCCTAAACGCAGCATGACTTGGGTGGGCACCGAAGGCAGCCTCCCAGGCCTCTCTTCCCTCACCGAGGTTGCAGCTGGGGAGCTATTCCTCAGCAAAGCCTCAGAGAACAGTGGCTACAGGTATGAGCTGCGCTGCATTATCTGGAAAACTGCCCACGTGGACCTGAAGGAAAAGAGTTTAAGGACCGAGAGGATGAGCGACATCTATGTCAAAGGGTGAGGGAGAGGAGCGGGGCTCCGTCAGAGTGCCCTCAGACTTGCCCAGTTCTGTCTCTCCATTTCCACCCATGCCTAGCGTCTACTGGGCTAGGGGTGGGGACAATCCAAGTGAACCCCAGGTGAGTGGACTTTGGCCCCAGATGGTTATTCGGGATGGAGGAGGCCATGCAGAAGACAGATGTCCACCACCACTCCCTGACGGGGGAAGGCATCTTCAATTGGCGGTTCATCTTCACCTTGGACTACCTGGCAGCAGAGCAAGCGTGCGTCTTGAGTCAGAAGGTAACAGGCCCAGGAGTGGGATGCACTCCTCCCCCTCCCCTCAGAGCCTGCGAGCTGCACCAAGACACTTGGAATGTGACCTTGGGTGGAACCACTCCCCACTCCCCCTCCCCGACTTTCTCCTCCTCCTCAATGGTCGGTCCATCACTGCTGGGTGATGGGCTGCTAAGTGCCCAAAGAAACTCTCAGAGGAGACAGGCCGGAAATACGCTCTCCTGCCATCCTCCAGGACTACATATGGAGCCTGGACCCCACAGTGATGAAGTTCCCAGCCCGGCTCATCATCCAGATCTGGGACAATAACATCATCTCCGCGGATGACTTCCTAGGTGAGATCCTGGCACAGGGCCCGTGACCACAGGACAGGGAGCTCCTTTTTGCTGACGGCATTTCTCTGGGCTCAGGGGTCCTGGAGCTGGATTTGTCTGACATGCCCCTCCCGGCCCGGCATGCCAAGCTATGCTCCATCAGGATGATGGATGCTGACTCCAAGTGGCCTCACTTCCTCCAGTACAAGCACTGCTCCCTCTTTAAGATGAAGACTGTAAGCGGCTGGTGGCCTTGCCAGGTCCTCGATGGCGGCAAATGGCGCTTGTCGGTAGGAGCTGGGGAAGGTGCCTATTGCCTAGGAACAGGGCTGACTACTGTGCCGCGTAACTTGGCTCTGACAGACCCTGGGGGCCTGAGCTAAATCCCTTTCCCTTTCTGGACCCTGGAAAGAGGCCTTTAAAACTATCCTTGCTCCTGCCGTCTGAGCTCAGCTCCCACCACCCATGGTGTTTCTAGGGTAAAGTGAAGATGACCCTGGAGATTTTGACAGAGAAGGAAGCCTTAATCAAGGCAGCAGGAAGAGGCCAGTCGGAACCCAACCAATACCCTACACTCCATCCTCCCCTGTAAGGGTCCTGCAGGGCAAAGGCACCAAGTCTCTTCCTCGTTCACAAAGCTGAGCTGCTGGGCCAAGCAGTCTGTATGGGGTGGTGACCAGGGAAGGAGGCTGACAAGTAAAGAGGGATAATTATGCCCCCCACCTCCCCACTCCGGCTCAACCGGGGAGAACAGCTGGGGAGGGGGGAGGGCAGAAGCAGAAGTTGCTTTTTTAAAATGAAAGACCTTTGCTCTGGATTACTTGACCTGAAGTTTCCCTCTGCCCTCCATTCTCTGCCATCTCTGCTCCTGGACAGACGCACCCATACCTTGCTCATGTGGTTTCAGTCACCCATTGCAAGGTTCATCCATGTTTTCTGGAAACGCTACCGCTTCAAAATCATAGCCATCTCAATCATACTGCTTATAGGGCTTCTGCTGTTCAACTTTATCTATTCAGCTCCGGTGAGTGACAACCGTGGAGACGGGGGAAAAGGCAAAGCTGCTCTCGGGATGACCCAAGAGAGAGCCCTCAGGTTGCTAATTCAGGCTGACTCTTACCTATTCTCTCTAGAACTATTTGGCCATGAGCTGGGTCAAGCCTGAACTTCGGCTGAATGCTCCCATTCAAATATACGCCAATATCATCAATTCACTAAACACGAGCAATGCCAACTCTTCCAACCTCGCCACTCCCCATCAGAACCTGAAATCTACAACAGGCCATAAGCTGAAACTCCTCCAGGGACACATAAATCACCTGTGAGCTATTTTCCCAGAACTTCCAGCCCCACCAGACTGATTCCCCCGTGTCTGCCAGGCTTTTCTCCTGCCCATCCACAGCACTACCCTTGGGCTTCCTACCAGTTCCTTGTTTCCGGGGTCTAGGGATATTCTGACCATTCTGTTCAGACCACTTCCAACAAGAAGGGCAGAGTTGTAATTTTCCACTGAAATAAACAACTTTTGTAACAGAGCCACCCTGTAATTTGCGGGGGGCGGTTCACAACACCATGAAAGGCTGAAAACGCCAGGCTCTCAGACAAGACTCACAAGGATGGGGAACGATGGCACCCTTATGCACCTCCTCGAGTCTCCAGGGACTCTTCCACTCTAAGAGGCCCTAACATCACAGGAAAACAGAAGGCAAGGAAGGGCACCTGTGAGGAAAGGTGGCTCACGCGGGGTAAGCAGCCGGCTGAGGCCGCCGCTCTCACCCCTCACGTGACCAGGTGGCCCCCTCCTCTGGGACACAGCTGGGACTCCTGCGCCCAGAACCTTCCGCCCCACTCACGACGGGAAGCATGTTTCTAGAACAAAAGGGGAGAGCCAGGGCAGAACCTACCACGCTAGTCACATTGTTTCCTTGCACCACACACTGCTCTGAGGCTGGCCCGGGTGGGGGGACTGCATTTCACGTCTTCCCTGCCCTCTTCACAGAGCCTCAAGGACCTCATGAGCTAGAATCACACAAAAGCCACAAGTGTGACGATCTCCACGCTGAGCTGCCCCTCCTGCACCCCTGCCTGGGCCAGCTCACGAGCCCACTGGCGTCCTCCCACTACAGGGGTCTAGCCCATCTCCCCCGGAACTCAAAAACACAGAACGGCCATTTGCTTTCTCAGTTCCACCTGGTCCGAAAGCCAAGCCCGGGGCCCCAGCTGACCCTCTGTCACTCTGGAGCCACTCTGCCATGGGGGGAGGTCAGGAGGGTCCCACTGTCATCCCACCTGCACGAGAGCACTACCGCCTGTGGGAAGGATACAAGAAAGCTGAAGACAACCGAAACCCACAGGCAGACAAGGTAACCCTCCTTTCCTTGAGGGCTGAGCAGAGGGCTTTCCCAACCCAGACGGCAGGGCAAGGGTGAACGGCTTACGGCTCAGCCAAGCCCACCCGTAAAAGGAAGGCCACTCAGAAGTTCATGTTTGGTTTCCATCAGCCATGTTCAGACTTTCCCTCAGGCTACAGAAGCACAGGGCTGGGAGAGCTCAGAGTCCAAGCCCTCCAGGGAGCCTCCAGCCTGTTAGCAATGGAATCACAGGGCAGACAGGTGAGCAGCACGTGACCCCTCAACAGGTAAGGCAGTGGAATCAGGGCTGACCCACAGAGGACACTCAGGCTCGGCTGCTCAAATGACAATGAACTCTTCCAGGCACAGATGACGGGGGTCTACTGCTTCCAGATTTACAACAACCATTCCTTATCCGTTAAGAAAGAGAAGCCAGGTTTCCTCTTTGGGGAGTATCCAAGCTCAGGCCATAAGAACAAAGTTTCCTTACATTTTGAACACTCTAAGTAGGATTCCAAAAATTATGATGAACACAAGACATGCAGCTAAGCAGGCTTCCAGAGAGTCCAGAAACATCTCCACGTGGTCAGATCATGTGACAGGTGCCGCTTTCGGTGTCAAAACGCGGAGCAGTCAGTTTCACAGTTAGTCCCACTGCATCCGTGACGTCTCCCAAGCTTCTCTTGACCTGCACACCAGCTTTCAGCCAAACCTGGCTGAGGGCCTAAAGGGACCTAACTGGGAGGGTCATGAACACACCAACAGAACCAAGATCCACCCGCAAGAACAAAGGCCAGAGCAGTGAGCCCCAGCAGAACGCCCCCTCCCTACGGCCACCTAATGAGGGTCAGTGGAACTCAAGTTTGTTGTGCAGCCCCAGGCCCCAAGAGAGAGGCAGCCAGATGTCTTTTCCAGCTCAGGCTGCATCTGCAGAGGACAATGAATGGAGGGAGAGGAAGGCAAGGCAGGGAAGAAGTTTCCATCCAGATTTCCGAGGGAAGTTCCTCAGGTGGAGAGAGGCTTAGACAAGAAGCAAAAACCCGTGGACAGGTGGCTGGAAGGTACGAGGAGTTACCAGTTTTCTAGTCTTTGCAGATTTAAGAATGAAGTACGAGGGTCCTCTGAGCCCAACAACAAGGCAGCCTGGGCTACGACACCCTTCGGGTGGTCTTGGCATCACGGCGGCCTGTGCTCCCTCCGTCCCTCTTTGCTCCCAAGTGGCAGGACTGCGGGGAAAGGCATGTCACAGTAGCGTCGCCCGGCGGGGTGGGCTTCCTGATCGAGTTAGACGTCCTCATGGGTGACCATGGGAACGCAGCGTCCCTGCACTCAAAGCTCCAGTGACAGAACCGAGTCCTTGACCAGCTGCTGGAGACGACAGAAGACCCGCCTGGCTATGTGCTCAGGCCGGTGCCTGCTCCTCCCATACTCCTGGGTGACAGTCACGGAGGTTGTGATCGCAGGAGGGCTCAGTAGAAGCGCTTTCGGCTCTGATCCTGCCATTTGTTGTAGAGTATGAGCCCAATGACAATGGCAAATACGGAAAACACCAAAGAGAAAAAGACGATGAGAAAGAGGGCCAGGCCACTCAGGGGCGGCAGCGGGGCTGTCACTAAGAAAGCAAGAGGGAAGCAAGTCAGAATGAGGGAGCCCGCCCGGTGGGAAGGACCAACCAAGCTATCAAGTCCCCATTTCTGGGAGCTAGAGCTCAGACTCTCCCTTTCCGGATGCCGCAAGTTAAAACCTAAACAGCCCACAGTCTGCTCATCTGTAACACGGAGACAAGTGAGAAAGCAGGGGCAAGTGCTCCAAGTGCTTCGGAGAAGAACCCCGAAAAGAGGCAGCCCCGCCCAGCTGTACTGCATGTCACTCCAGACCCCCACAGCCCTCAACCTCCTCACTGGCCATGGGGCCTTTCCCCAGGATCCCCCGTGCTCACTCTCGGGCAGTTTCATGTTGTCCACCGAGGGCAGGAACACATCTCGATGCAGCTTCTCCTCTTCTGGGGTTCTCTCCACCGTCAGCTCAAACAACTTCAGAGAAATGACGTCATGGTTGTCTAAAGAAAAAGAGAACAAGGATTACTCAAGCCACCCTGAAAAGAGTGTCTTGGTTCAAGCTTCTAATCCACAGCTAACGAACAGTGACCTGAAAAAAAATAACTGAAACTTCTGTTTCTCATCTAAAAATAAGGAGAGGGGGCTTCCCTGGTGGCGCAGTGGTAGAGAGTCCGCCTGCCGATGCAGCGGACGCGGGTTCGTGCCCTGGTCCGGGAAGATCCCACATGTTGCGGAGCGGCTGCGCCCGTGAGCCATGGCCGCTGAGCCTGCGCGTCCGGAGCCTGTGCTCCGCGACGGGAGAGGCCACAACAGTGAGAGGCCCGCGTACCGCAAAAAAAAAAAAATAAATAAATAAAAATAAAAATAAGGAGAAAGAACAGGGAACATTCTACATTATCCTGTATTTATAGTTTTTATCAACAAGCATGCATTACCTATGTAATTTTAAAATTTAGAGAGGGACTTCCCTGGTGGTCCAGTGGTAAAGAATCCGCCTTCCAATGCAGGGGATGCGAGTTCGATCCCTGGTCGGGGAACTACAATCCCACATACCTCGGGGCAACTAAGCCCACGGTGCCTCAAGTAGAGAGCCGGCGTGCTGCAAACTACAGAGCCCACGCGCTCTGGAGCTGCGGTGCCACAACTGCAGAGCTCACACGCCCTGGAGCCTGCACACAACTAGAGAGAAAACCCACGCGCCACAACTAGAGAGAGAGAAGCCCACGTGCCACAACGAAAGATCCCGCATGCTGCAATGAAGATCCCGCGAGCCACAACTAAGACCCGACGCAGCCATAAATAAATAAATAAATAAATAAAATATATTAAAAAAGGAAAGTCAGTGTTATAAAAATAAATAAATAAAAATAAAATAAAATTTAGAGACGATACAAGAACTAACCCCCAATCACACGTAAAACCTTCCAGTGAAAGGAGACACAGTAGCCCCACAGCTTCCCTTTAATATGGACAACACACACAAGCAAGACAGGAGAGGGCCTCAGAGCAGCTGTTTAACGGGCCATGAGCAGGGCACAGCTATTGGCCTGGAACACACTTCCCTTCTGGACTGTGCCTAATTCTCTGCAGTAACTGTGACCCTGAATCTCACTATTAATTACCAGAGAAGGATGAATAAGTTAGAGACTCAATTTTTTTCTCTCCTTTTTTAAAGTAACATTATAAATTCAGACAGTCAAACATACTTGACGCGTCTCAATACACTGAAGTCGTATCTCTCACTGAAGCTCAACCCAACCCAACTTTATCCAGGGGGAGCCTACTGAAGTTGGCTCCCAAGTCCTTTCACACGAACCCAGAAGTTTTTGATATCTTCCTTGCTTTTCTAGGAAGTCTTCAGCCTGTATTTCCTACCTTAGACCCGGCATTAGCCATTTCCCCAAGAAGCTCTTGTTCCCATTAGTATTGGTATTCGTATTAAGAGACCACAAATATGGGTGCTAGGGGTGCTCATTGCTACTAGGTTGGTTTTTGCAGACTGGATTTCTTGCCATCTCTATTATTAGGATGGCATTTATAGCTGCTTGGACTCTTAGAATCTTTAGCAGACCCCCAGGTAAAAAAACTGGATTTACCTTCAATTAGAAAAAATGTTTTCTCTGCCAGGACTGAGATTAAACCATGGGACAGGATAAAGAACCACAGTGATGCTCCTCACAATGTAGGGGCATCAAAGGCTAGGACAGCTGTGATGTGTCCGTCCTCAGCAGTTTCCAATAATCCATAGCAAGACCAGTTAAGATGTTAACAAGAAAGACCTTAATAGAAAGACGCAATTTGTATTTAGGGGTATCCTACAGGCGGAGAACATGGATGTACTAACCTAAGCATTACTGCCAAGAACTTAGAACAAAGGACTCCTTAGGATAAACAAAAATTATTCTTTGGCCATTTCCAACAGTTGGGAACAACTTCCCACTGACAAGTACAACAGGAGGTTAACTGAGCAGGTCCCAGAAGCCTGCGAGCTCAAAGGAAACTTGTGGACAGGGATACCTCTTTCAACTTGAGTCATATAACAAGATTCCATAGCAAAGATCTCCAGCCTGTGCCTCCCCTTACCTGTGCCAAGGTAAGATGTCCCACAGCTCTGGCCTACCTGCACAGTATTTAGAACTGGCTGCCAAAATTAATCTCTTATAAGTGACAGGAAGCAGATCAATGATTGCCTGGAGGCAGGGTAAGGGAGGAAGGCTGCAAAGGGGCACAAGAGAACTTTTCCCTGATGGAAACATTCTGTATCTTGACTGGGATGGTGGTTATATATATGTAAATATTTGTCAAAACTCTTCACACTATATACTTCTGTTATGTGGAAAGCATATCTCAATAAGGTTGATTTTTAAAAAAAATTAGTTGCCAGGATTTACAAAATCAGATTTCATTAAAAAAATCCAGATCTCCAGCTTCTCTTGAAAAACTAGAAGACACGGCCTCATTGAGCCCACATTTTCTACTGGCAACAATGGCTGAAACTGAGTGGATACTGCCCGTTTCCGATGGGTATTTGCCTTTCTTTCTTGCCAGAAGAAAGTTCTACTTCATCCTAGCTTCACTCATAACACATTATATCAAAAGTTTAATTCTTTACCTCTTCTGAAAAGACGCTATGATTGATGCTAAAGCCAAGGGAGAGAATAAGCACATAAAAGAAGCTTCTAATCGGAAACAAGTAGGAAGAAAATCCAGAGGAGAGAGAACAGTAGAAAAGCCCAGTACTGCTAGCGCCACATAAGTCAAGGAAGGCAGGGGTTTCAGAGTAACTGGTCAAACAAGCTGAAGAGAGGACAAACAGCAAGCACACAGAACAGCAAAGAAACAGAAGGAGCTTTTACAAAAATACTTGTGCTAATAGCATGGCAGAGACACAGGCCTGAGTGCAGCATTTACCATGGTGGTAAATTTACAGAGGTGGATGTCTTAGAAATGCAAGCATCTGCACACACAACACATTCAAAAGTCTGAGCACAAAGGAGAGTCTGGGGGTCGGAAGAGGGAGGGCAGAGTCAAGGAAAAGCTTTGTTAAGAGAAAGGGAACTAAGCACATTAGGTGAAAGGACAGGAACCTGACTATGAAAAGAGGCACAAGAAATAGGAAAGCACAGAACTCAAAACACAGGCTGGAAGAGCTGGCTTGATGTAGAGGCAAACACTGCTTTCCAGTAGCACCAAACATCTCCCGAAGACTACTGTGCTAGATAACCCCTGGCCTGGGCTTTTAAGGGATCTGGACACGAGAATGCAGGAAGATAAGCACTCACAGGGCACTTGTTTGCCAGAGTTCTGCCTGGCTGGCTCTCCCCTCTGAGAAGCCTCACCCAGGCTGCCTATCGAGATGTGACCGCAGCTAGGGCAAGTAAGGAGCGCACGTGGCAGTACCTGAGAGATCCCCGGTGATGGAGGAGGTGCCGAAGTAGTAGCCCCGGGGCAGACGGACACCGGGCACCTCTATGCAGTCCCTCCACTCATGCTTGCCATCGATGTCCATCATTATCTAGAATAAAAAGAAGAGATAGGGCTTCCCTGGTGGCGCAGTGGCTGAGAGTCCGCCTGCCGATGCAGGGGACAAGGGTTCGTGCCCCGGTCCGGGAAGATCCCACATGCCACAGAGCGGCTAGGCTCACAACAGTGAGAGGCCGGCGTACCGCAAAAAAAAAATAAAAAAGAGATAAATCAGGGCCAGGCCACGGAAGCGGGAGCGAGACAGCCCATATCGCCAACAGGTCCAGAACAGGGACTCACCGTCAAATGCCTCTTGACATAGCGAATCACAAGGAAGGTGTCATAATGGAGATTGCGGACAATGGCCGTACAGCCCCCCAGCTCTGTAGGCCGCCCGTCCCGCTCGTGATCATAGCTGAGGGAGCCATTGTTCACCATGGCTGAGATGTAGGGGAAAACCCGCTGGGAAAGCAGGGAAGGAAAAGCAGAGAACAGTGAGGAAGTACTCTTAGGAACACCTGTGCAAACAGCATCAGGAATTCTGCACATAAAGCTGAGCTCCTCACAGCAGACCAGACAACCACTCCATCTCATCACTAGCAGCACCCAAGAACACACACTGAGATGGTCACTCGAGGGACATGGCCCAGAAGTGACTGACCTCTCTACCTGCCTTCAGGAATCCTCCTTGCACCCATTTGGGGTGGGTCTGGAATGGCCCCTCTGACACTCTGGAGTCTGACTGGAATCCTCCCAAAGATCGCCATTTGGCACTTATAGTCTACACAAGACTGTTGTTTTTCTGTGTGTGTGTGTGTGTGTGTGTGTGTGTGTGTGTGTGTGTGTGTGTGTAATGGCCATGTAAACTTCTTGAAGAGAAAAATCATTTATTATGCCTCTCTGCATGTGTCCACCTTAGCTCCATCCCTTCCCCCCCAGGGCAAGTATTTTGCACACAGAGGTATTCTGAAAATACCTGTTCAATCAGGGAAATCTTTCCATTCAGGATAGCACCTTTCAAATTCTAAAATTCTATAAGCATATGATGCTAAATGGGTCAGGACTCAGAAAGGGCAGTGCCAGAACCAGGCTGCAAGGTGGTGTTCTCCAGCCACAGATGACTATTCTTAGTCAAAAGACCATCCAGCCCACTTAAGCTTCACCACACATAACTTCTCCCACTAACACTCAGGGCAAGGTTCTCCCACTGAAAGTTTCCTCATATGCCACCCATTTTCCCACCTACTTCAGAGGCCCTCTCTCTCCAATAGACTCGTGGAGCAAATTCTTCCCTAGAAATGATGAGCTAACCATTCCAGAACAAGCCCAGTGCTAAGGCAGTGCAGAGAGGCAGGGGGATGAAAGGACAGGAAACATGAGACATGCCACTTCTTTGGTGAGTCCCTCATTGTCCTAAACAATCAACATGCAAGGTGAAGATACAGTCAAAATCGGAGACTGGTGACTCCTGAGACAATAGCCACACGGATTCTAAACAGTAGCAAATGTTGGATGGACACATAGGGAGTACGGGATGGCCATGGTGGGTCAAGAACTGAGTACCTGGACTCCGGGAGAATATCGTCTCTTCTGGGCCTGAGAGGGTCCAGCAGGTTATTATAAAAACAAGAGAGGGCACAGAAGACAGGAGACCAAGTCAGAAAGAAACAGCCATGGAAGAGCTATGACCCAGCTGTGGTGGATGAGCAAACCAATCTAAATCCCCAAACAGAATTTTAGGGTCCATGGAAGGCATTTCGCAAGTCCTCATACCCCTCAAAATTACAGGCAAAACTATATGCACAGGTGTTTGTACATTTTCTAAGGAGAGGGTCTGCTGCTATCATCAGATTCTCAAAGGGGTCCACTAGGAAGACCCCTCTAACCCACATGGGGTCCTGAAACTCTCCGAAACTTTATAAAACACACAGCATCACAATCTCCAAGCAGGCCTCACTTATGTCTCTGACAGTCCAAAAGTCAGGCCATGAGTTGGTCTGTACCCAGACTACAGTATTTCTTTAGCAAGGGGAGAGACAGGAGTGATAAATAGGGCTAAATTCTTCCAAATTCAAGATGTCCTTTACTGCCCAGGATCTCAGGATATAGCTCTTTCCCAGAAGACAAAAATCCCATCACTTGAGAGGCTATCAAATTAACTCTAATCCAAAGGGATCATTTACCCTGTAATTGAGACTTATGGACATATATTTCCAAACAGTTATTCTAACTGACAACATGTGGGCAAGAAAAAGCTCTGTGGGAACGTTGCAGCAGGACAGACTTAGAAAAATCACAAGGTTCAAGCATGTTTAGCTTTGCTCCAGAAAACTGCTACAGTTCTAAGCTACTAGCAATAACAGATACCCTGTACAAGCTCAGCTCGGCCCTGCCCTACAGGAAGTGTGGGCAAAGGTGTAGAACCCAAAGCGTTCCTGCCCTCTAATCCTTAGTGAGCACCTGTTATGAGCCAGGCACAGTCCCAGATGCTGGGAGCTCAATGGCAAACAAGATAGGCAGACATCTGCTCTCATGGAGCTGACATTAGAGTGGAGGGGACAAACAATAAGTAAGGAAATAAAATCACTTGAGACTGATAAATGCTATGATGAAAATAAAATAGGTAACACAATAGAGACTGATGAGGAAACATCTCTCTGAGGAGACAACATCTGAGCTGAGACCCAAGTAGTTAGAGGGAATCCACCAAAAAATCTGAGGGCACAGTAAGCATGAGGTTAGCATATTCAAGGACCAGAAGATGACAGGGGTGTCTTCAACCCAGCTAGTGCAGAAGGGGCTGGTGTGAGGTGAGGAGGGAGCCAGCTCACACCAGCCCCTTACAGGCCACAGCAAGGGTCTGGGGTGAGCCTCAGAGCAGCGGCTCTTCTCTTGTGCCACTGGTGGCACAGGTGCAGGATTACAGAAAGGTGTGACATGAATCAGTGGATGATTAAACTACTGGAAAGCTACTCTTCTACAACTATCACTCAGGACAAGGGAATCATGAGTATGTTATCAGCGGTTTACAGAGATGGGCTTCTGACAAGAAAGCCCGTAACTTCAGTG